AGAGCCACCTGTGCCCCTAAGGTAATCAGAAGACAGAGCCACCTGTGCCCCTAAGGTAATCAGAAGACTGGGCCACCTGTGCCCCAAGGAAATCAGAAGACTGGGTCAACCAGACCCTCAAAGTAATCAGAAGACTGGGCCACCTGTGCCCCTAAGGTAATCAGAAGACCAGGCCACCTGTGCCCCTAAGGTAATCGGAAGACTGGGTCACCTGTGCCCCTAAGGTAATCAGAAGACTGGGTCACCTGTTCCCCTAAGGTAATCAGAAGACTGAGCCACCAAGGCCCCTAAGGTAATCAGAAGACTGAGCCACCTGTTCCCCTAAGGTAATCAGAAGACTGGGCCACATGTGCCCCTAAGGTAATCAGAAAACTGAGCCACCTGTTCCCCTAAGGTAATCAGAAAACTGAGCCACCTAGGCCCCTAAGGTAATCAGAAGACTGGGCCACCTGTTCCCCTAAGGTAATCAGAAAACTGGGCCACCTGTTCCCCTAAGGTAATCAGAAAACTGAGCCACCTAGGCCCCTAAGGTAATCAGAAGACTGGGTCACCTGTGCCCCTAAGGTAATCAGAAGACTGGGCAACCTGTGCCCCTAAGATAATCAGAAAACTGGGCCACCTGTGTCCCCAAGGTAATCAGAAGACTGAGCCACCTGTTCCCCCAAGGGAATCAGAAGACTGGGCCACCTGTGCCCCTAAGGTAATCAGAAGACTGAGCAACCTGTGCCCCCAAGGGAATCAGAAGACTGGGCAACCTGTGCCCTCAAGGTAATCAGAAGACTGAACCAGCTGTTCCCCTAAGGTAATCAGAAGACTGGGCCACCTGTGCCCCTAAGGTAATCAGAAGACTGGGTCACCTGTGCCCCTAAGGTAATCAGAAGACTGGGCCACCTGTGCCCCTAAGGTAATCAGAAGACTGGGCCACATGTGCCCCTAAGGTAATCAGAATACTGGGCCACCTGTGCCCCTAAGGTAATCAGAAGACTGAGCCACCTGTGCCCCTAAGGTAATCAGAAAACTGGGCCACCTGTGCCCCTAAGGTAATCAGAAGACTGGGTCACCTGTGCCCCCCAAGGTAATCAGAAGACTGAGCCACCTGTGCCCCCAAGGGAATCAGAAGACATTTCAAGGCCATCATTTCTCATCTTAACAAAGAAATGTATTGCCTGAATAATCAAGATTTATAGAATAACATTCTATCAACAATACATCCCTTTGGGGATTCCAAAGCAGGATGGGTTTCCAATTGCTTATTCTTGTATCACAGGTAGTTCAGTGGGACATGGGTTGGAGCCTTGGACCACTGAGTCTGTGACACTTTTAAGAGCCTTGGACCACTGAGCCAGTCATGCTTGTAAGAGCCTTTGACGACTGAGCCTGTGATACTTGTGAGAGCCTTGGACATCTGAGGTTGTGACACTTGTAAGAGCCTTGGACAACTGAGCCTGTCATGCTTGTAAGAGCCTTTGACGACTGAGCCAGTCATGCTTGTAAGAGCCTTTGACGACTGAGCCTGTCATGCCTGTAAGAGCCTTGGACAACTGAGCCTGTCATGCTTGTAAGAGCCTTGGCCAACTGAGTCTGTGATACTTTAAGAGCCTTTGACGACTGAGCCTGTAATGCTTGTAAGAGCCTTGGACAACTGAGCCTGTCATGCTTGTAAGAGCCTTTGACAACTGAGCCAGTCATGCTTGAAAGGGCCTTTGACGACTGAGCCTGTCATGCTTGTAAGAGCCTTTGACGACTGAGCCTGTCATGCTTGTAAGAGCCTTGGACAACTGAGCCTGTCATGCTTGTAAGAGCCTTTGACAACTGAGCCAGTCATGCTTGAAAGGGCCTTTGACGACTGAGCCTGTCATGCTTGTAAGAGCCTTTGATGACTGAGCCTGTCATGCTTGTAAGAACCTTGGACAATGGAGTCTGTCATGCTTGTAAGGGCCTTTGAGGACTGAGCCTGTCATGCTTGTAAGAGCCTTGGACAACTTAGGTTGTGACACTTGTAAAGGCCTTTGACGACCGAGCCTGTCATGCCTGTAAGAGCCTTGGACAACTGAGGTTGTGACACTTGTAAAGGCCTTTGACGACCGAGCCTGTCATGCCTGTAAGAGCCTTGGACGACTGAGCCTGTCATGCTTGTAAGAGCCTTGGACGACTGAGCCTGTCATGCCTGTTACAGCCTCGACAACAGAACCTGTCATGCTTGTAAGAGCCATCTAATGAGGAACAGGTGGTCACAATTTATGTTTTAATGTCTGACTTGGATAATTGTGTTTATCATGCTTCAAATGGTCGTTGCTCATGCTTATCCAGACTGGTTTATATAGCAATCCTGGGATGTGACAAGTTTCACCACAAACTCGGAAAGTGCCATGCACAAGATAGTTATCATGGTGACTGGTAACATATGCTGTCTATCACATTTTGGAGAGCTTTTACTTCTCACATAGGAATGCATTGGCATCATCACACAATGTGTGACGTCATTAGAATCAACGACCACCCAACTACTCCGTTACTACTAAAGTGAATAACAAAAACAACAACAACTGAAATGAAAATTATCCTTCTTCCCTGAATTAAATTGTTAATGTCTCTCATAATGAAATTACAATGAAATTGTCTTTTTTTTATTGTAATGTCAAATACGCAATCGAATGAGAAAACCTTTTTTGGGTTCCATGAGGAAATCATGGACCTGATAATGAAAATAGGAAAAAATATATAAGTGTATTCCAACTAATTGTCACGTCAAAGACTCATTTGAATGAGAAAAAACATTTTTTTTAAAAACATTTTCATCCGATTAACTCATCATGCTCATGAGAGATATATAGTATATTCATGAAAACAGCATGGCTATACTATAGTGAGGATAAGATCGGGAGCAAATATGTGGAGTACAGAAATATGAGCCCTGACAGGTGGCGCCACTTGGTGTGAGACAACAGGTGCTGCCATCTACATTCACACCATGTAACATAGTACAGTGTGTTCACTATATTAAAGCCGGCACTTCATCAAAATACCAGCTGATGCAGAATCCCCCATAATTCAATTCTTCGTCATATTGTCACGCAAACAAGCATGAACACTTACTAAGGAATAATACACATGTGTTTGAATGATTCACTTTCTGACAATTTTACTATGTATTTACTTGAATGACATCAGTGATTATAGTACATGGGCCGCCCATTTCATATTCCGGATGAAGGAGAGTGGGATTATTTCTTTGTTCACTTCATATACTGGACATACTGAAAAATCATGTGTTTTAAGAAAAAGCAAATTATCTGGCTACTAACAGAGAAATATATGTCTGACCGAAAAAATATCTCGAACAAAAATCCCCAAACCCTTATAGAATACTAAAAGGCACATATTTACTTAAAACCTAGGTTTGAGTTTTGAAGAACCCTAAAGCTTCGTAAATCACCTGATTTTTTAATATATATCTTACACTGTGTATAATACCGGTATGCTATATGATATAATGGTAGTGCGTGCTGCTCCCTGACTGGTTGTAAAACATTTCTAAATGTGGCTGATACCATATACTGTATATGGTCTCTGCATTAACTGACCCTAAAAAATTAGACCAAGTGGGTGGACACCATCTGGCAACTGAGTTTATAGTCATGCTTCAGCGTTCATGCTGGAAACATTGGCACACATTACTTAGCTCACAATAAACAATGTGACAGACATTGTTGTCTTTAATTGTTGTCTACCATGTTTGATTGAGTGAATCTAGTACTTGTGACAGTCTTCATGTAAGATGGCTTCCAATTGACATGGCCATGCGGATTTCGAGCGATTGCAGGATTTGCAAAGCATGTGTGTCGTCAAATATGTTTCATGTTCATAATCATGTTCAAGTGATTTGATGTGATGTAAGACCCATTTTATTACAATGTAGATCTTGATTATCTATCAGATAATCTTGAGAGGGCACAGCCATTTTGTTTGTTTGTTTGTTTGTTGTTTAACACCTCAGTTAGCAGTAGTCCAGCTATATGACAGCAGTCTGTAAATAATTAAGTCTGGACCAGACAATCCAGTGAATGACATCATGAGCATCGATCCCTCCAATTGGGATACGATGACATGCATCAACCAAGTCAGGGAGCCTGACCACCCGATCCCATTTATCGCCTCTTCTACAAGCATAGTTGCCTTTTACGGAAGCAAATATGAAGTGACATAACTCGTAATAGGAACATAACTTGTAAAAGCAACTGATGGCGCTACGATCAAGCCATGAATTTCCAGCCTAGTTTGGCTTCTTTAGTAGTAGTTAACTCCCTTGCCTCGGGTAGATGTGCCTGACCATGTACAGTACATTAGATGTAGATGTAGATGTAGATGTGGATGTGGTATATACACTTCACTTTGCTTAGTTATGTACAAAACAACATGTTCACGTGTGTAACAACACTTAGACCTGACAAACAACAAACAAACAAACAAACAAAATTAGAAAATGCTGTATTCATACCTTTATCATGATATGCAACCTGGATCCATGTGCACCATAACATTATTTTGGTCAGTAACGTCAGTAACTCTATGTACCTTATCATTAACCAAGCTCAGAAATTATCTCACTCATAAGCTTGAAATCAACAACCATTCAAAATATCTTCTGAATGCGAGTTTGGGATAGATCAACATTCAAAATTGCAGCCTCGTATGAGCAGCGCCTGACATATATTTAATCCTAAAGAACTTTTAGTTGGAAAAGATGTTTTCCAGAGTATTAAGACATGGAAGGATGTCCTTAAACAAGACGTTCCCAGTTGTGTTTGAGATGGCACCCAAAGCAGGTATGTTGGTGCTGGTGTGTCACTGCTTGTTTCAATCAGGAAAGAACAGTAACTTTTGATTGGACAGCTAATTTTAGCAATGTGTGGCAAATGGATCAGGGTATAAGTCATAAGAGAATGGAGATAAGACACACTGGATAACCAGGGAAGTGGATAATGGAGGCTCATACTTACGAAGCATCGATGAAGTATATGATGAGAGATGCTATGCTCAGCAAGAAGACCAGGCCAACCTGAAACGAAGCACAGAGGGATGAAACCATTTGGAAGACATAAATCATAGTAACATTTACCAACATGTCATGAAGCAAATTTTCTCAGTTAAAATCAATACACATCCTTTTCTCCTCTGAAATTGGTCTATTTCACACCAACTGCCCCAATCTCCTACCCAGAGTTCCATGCGACCAGCATAGTAACTCTGCCACAGACCAGCTCCATGTGACGATTCGTCACATCTTACACAGTCCATTCAAGATATTGCATATGTTTTTCATCTGTTTCATTTTTGACACATCTACATATCTAGATAAACATATGTCATAGAATGGTTTACTTTCATTGAGAAAATATCCTAAATCGTGAAAAACTATCTCCATTTGCGTAGTTATCCTATGTTTACATTGGTTGTACGGCTCCACGTGCTGTCATTGAAGCCCAATGGAGAGCTAGCGACACGGTCACTTTGATGTGTAAATATGTATTGTCATGCAACTCACTGTCGCAGTTGTAGTAGCATATTTGTATAATTATGCAAACAATATGTAAAGCCCTGCCAAATACTTGTATGAGTCCGTTCTATTCTGATTTCTGAAAAGGCGTGCTTGTTTACAAACAAGAGAAAAGTCAAGTCACATGATATGCAAATTAGCCTGTGGCAGTGGTGTTATGCTAAGTCACCGCTGCGCCGGAGTGTGCTACTGCCCTTGCCTTGCTATTGCAATGGTTAAACACAACAAGTTCCCTTTCTTAGGAAATGCATTCTGTTATGCATGTTTGGAGGTGAGGTCACGTGGGTCGAGTAAGTGAGTGAGTATGGTTTTACGCCGGTGTTAGCAATATTCCAGCAATATCACGACAGGGGACACCAGAAATGGGCTTCACACATGGGGACCCACGTGGGGAATGGAAACAGGGTCTATGGCGTGACAAGTGAATGCTTTAACCACTAGGCTACCCTACCGTGGTCTAATATTTCATTCAAGATTACTGCACTTATGTAGTGATGGGCATGCATGCATGTGGAGCATGATGCGTCGTGAAACTAAATTAGGGATTCGTCTTCACTGAATATACATTTTCCAGATTCACATGATTCACTTGATCAGGTTATTTATTTAGTATTCAAACAATATGAGATAATTCACTAAGTGAGATAATTCATCGTAGTAATTCATTCATTGAGATCATTCACTCAAACAGATTATTCTACTGAGATAATTCATTGAGGTAATTCACTCGATCAGATAATTCATTGTAGTAATTCACTAAATGACATAATTCAAGGTTGGAAATTCACTTCTATGTTAATTCTATTTCCCTGTTAATTTTCATGGATCAGAAATCTTATTAAATATATCCAAACACATCCTAGTTATGACTTCTCAAAAGCTCAGTACACGGTGTCTGTCTACTGCAACACCCAATACACAAACACCAGTGAATATTAGTTACTACTACAATACCCATACATTTATTTTACCTCGCTTCATCAACTATCTACAAAAAAACATTAACTTGTTTGAAAAACAATCCCATCATTCAAATGCACAAATGTATTTTTACTTCTGCCCTATTCAACATGTTCAAACAATCTGAAAGCAAAATTTCTGTAAAACACAAAAACAAACATTAGTGGTCTGAACACAATTTCATAATGATACCGCGGAGTGGATTTATAAGTTAAGATTGGTCCCCAGCAACCAATGCTTGTAGTAAGAGTGACTTTCGTGTCATCATACCCCGACAGCATGGATCTTTGCTCATAATATCAATCCCTGGTTTGACTTGATTGTCTACAGATTGCCATCATAGAGCTGGAATATTGCTGAGTGTGGTGGTGTTAAACTTAATCTTGCAATCAAGCTGTACTGCATTCCGTTTCCAACTGGAATACTTTTATATTGTCAGCCTTCAATACATTTCATTGACAGTACCCATTACACTTCCTCTTGAACCATTAGGCTGAATTACAAGGTAATGAACCTGATCACAAACTAGTGCACTGACTTCATCAGGCACCACATAGCTATCTGCTTCATGCAGTTTTACTGCACTGGGGTCCATCAACCCCTGCACTTGGCTGCAGGTACAGAGGCAGTTCGAGACATGTGCAATTATACCCCGACTTTGGAAAAACTCATTACCGACTTAAACCATCCACGTGCAAGGTATTAAATAGTTGATAGTGAAGCATTAATGAGCATCATCAGAACATACCAATTAAATTTTTATCAAATAATTAGAACCCTGAAATACATATGCAACGAGTATGATAAAAATAGATCCTAACACAAAAAATAAAAATACTTTATTGTAGGAGAATTGATTTTAAAATATCTATCATTTTAGGGTACATGCTGACTGACAGTAATGCTATTCACTAATGTGCATGGCTGTTTCAGTCAAATTCTTTTCTCAATTTGATATTTTATTTAATGCTCAAAATGTTTCAATAACTCTCAATGAAACCTTCTTCTGACTGACACTTATACTACTTCCTGCCCTGTTTAAACCAACAAGCATCGTTATTCTTTTAGAACAATAGCCTGACTACTTGGAGGGATGCTGGTATGCATGTGCGTCATTCTGTTACAAAATTAGAGGGCAACAACTTATTGAATTGTGCACTTGTGCCTTATTACATTCAAATGAAGCTGAAAATGAGTCCGGTTCTTGGCAATACTGAATACAGTTTGAATGACAACATCTATCATGTTTAATTTAATTTCGATGAAGCTGAACATGCTTTAGGGCCTTGGCAAGATGGAATACTACTTATATGACAACTCTTATGTTTTATTCAATTCAAATCAAGCTGGACTGTGTAGAAAATAAATAACCGGCAATAGCGATCAGCTGCACTAAAGTGCTATGCTTAGGATTATTATTATTTTAAATATATTTAGTAAAGCTGCATCTAAAATAACAAGATATTGGAATTGTTTCAGATACAATTTTTTCCCGATACTTGCATCAAAATCCTTTAAAGTTATTTCATTGGGTAAGTTTTCACCGATTCACCGGTAGATTCCAAGAAAACGTGTGTACGGCTGATTGCTGTTTCCAGCTTAGTTTACGAGAAAATACACAAGGTAATCTTAATCCCTGGATGTAAAACAATGCCTAGCAGAACAAAATACAATTCAAACAGTAAATCAACATGTCTGGTGATTTTTTATCTCAAATTTCAAATTTGTACTGACCAAGTTTCTTATCACCTGCTCGTTTACCGAAATTCACTGAAGGGGTCAATGTAATTTTTTTCAGCACATAATATTTGAAAAAAATTTTTTCCCAAAATACTGAATCCACTAGAGGGGGGTGCCCATTATACTTAGGAGTGCACTATACTCAAGAAAATACGGTAGTACTTGTATGACAACATTTCTATGCTGAATTCAATTCAAATGAAACTGTGCTTGCAGCAAGTCAAAATATACTTTTTGAGTGGCATCTCCAGATATTCAGTCCCATCTGGCCACTCAGAATATCCCTATAAACTATTTAGTGGTATAAAAGCAAGACTGTGAGTAAGTCTTGCAAACATGGCCATAACAATGTATGTGCAAACAATGACTGCACAGAACGAGCAAACCTAAGCTGGCTTGCATGTGCCACACAGTCCACATGATGACATGGGCCTGCGGGGTGAGTGGCAGCTAACAAGGTCGTCATTAGGGCTTGTGCAGAGATCACAATTATATACATTAAATCCAATGCTTTCCTTCTGCGTAAGACTACATGTATTAAAAACAATTAAATAATACATCAGGAATGCGTTATTTTTCATTTCAGAAGCAGAATGCTGACAATGTTAGAAATACTGTCACTCTGCTAGTCAGTGGCTGTAATGTTTTTGAAAGACAAGTTGAATGTGAAGACAACATCAGCTCTGATGGCTAGTTCACAAAAGGGATGATCAGTAGCTGTTCCTTATATTGTTTCTTTGTTTGTTGTTTAATGTTGCACTAATATTCCACGCAATTGGGATTGATGACATGAATCAACCAATCCGATCCCGTTAGTCACCTTTTACGACATGCATAGTCGCCTTTTACGGCAAGCATGGGTTGCTGAAGACCTATTCTACCCCGGATCTTCACAGGTCGTTCCTTATATTAATTTACTAGTAAGGACTCATGGTAGTATAATTTTGGTGTGTATTTTTAACCTGTGATGACAGATCACAATAAGGACAAATCTGGATTCAAACCACGAAGAGCAGTAGCTGAGGGTGACACAACTCTCTCCAGTGTGTTATTTCTTTTGAACAATGGCCTCTCATGCCTGCCTTACCGAAAAACAGTCATCATTTGAGACAAGACTGACTATGGAAAGTTGACAGTGAAGAGGACTTCTTTTGAAAGTTAAAGATTTTAACGGTGTGATTACAGCCAGATATGGCAATGGTGTGAATGATCAAGGATATTTGCAGGAAATAAGTTATCATCTGAGATAAGACTTCAACATCCTGCCACTGATGTTTGTGAGTATAAAAATGTATCTACATGAAAAGAATTTTGTTATTTCTTTAAAAGATTGGTTGATTCAGAATTCAAATGAAACTGAATTTCTTCCTTCATCATGAGATATTTTCTGAATTTTGAGCAAAATGAAAGTGGCAAATGGATAAAGCTTTTCAGTCAAAAGGCTTCACATTAATTTCACCTATTACCGGTATACTTTTCATCTGGGAAAATCAGGCTTGCCAATTAATTTTCTTGTCATATTGGTCTGTTCTTGGTCTGTACATGCAACAATGAGGAATGAACCTTGATTCCCAAATATATAAATGAACAAAATTTCGAACAGAATGATGATCAAAATGTGCATCTTTAAAACGAAACAGCAGTATGATGTTTTTCTCTTTACTTTTTCAAATCAGGAAAGGCCCATTATTAAAAAAACAAGCAAACATTGGTCTGGCCAGTTAATACAATTTTCAGGAAACTAAAGAAATATTGAACCTCCACCAAGATCAGTGAGTACAACAGATACTACTGCTGACATT